ACCCAAAAAATTCATGAGAGCCTTACAAGATCAGTTCACATTCAGCAAATGGTGTGCATATGATTATGTCTGTGTGTACATCAAACCCTTCAACATTTATCTGATGAAAATAAGGACATCCTATTCTATTATTATTATTATTATTATTATTATTATTGGGACATGGGTGGCGCTGTGGTCTAACCCTCTGAGCCTCTTGGGCTTGCCCATCGGAAGGTTGGCAGTTCAAATTCCCATGATGTAGTGAGCTCCTGTTGCTCGGTCCCAGCTCCTGCCAACCTAGCAGTTTGAAAGCACATCAAAGTGCAAGTAGATAAATAGGACCCGCTGTGGCAGGAAGGTAAACGGCGTTTCCGTGTGCTCTGGTTTCTGTCACGGTGTTCTGTTGTGCCAGAAGCAGTTTAGTCCTACTGGCCACATAACCCGGAAAAGCTGTTTGTGGACAAATGCCAGCTCCCTTGGCCTGAAAGCGAGATGAGCATTGCAACCCCATAGTCGCCTTGTACTGGACATAACCATCCAGGGGTCCTTTACCTTTTTTTACCATTATTATTATTATTATTATTACAGTGGTACCTCAGGTTACAAACACTTTGGGTTACAGACTCCGCTAACCCCGAAGTAGTACCTTGGGTTAAGAACTTTACCTCAGGGTGAGAACAGAAATCGTGTGCTGGCGCTGCGGTGGCAGTGGGAGGCCCCATTAGCTAAAGTGGTACCTCAGATTAAGAACGGTTTCAGGTTAATAACGGACCTCCGGAACGTATTAAGTTCGTAACCAGAGGTACCACTGTATTATTATTATTACTGTTAACACCATAATTTTCATAGTGATTTGCCTACTTGCAGAAGACCATTGTACTATATGGCAGACCAGTCTGAATTTGAAAGGAGATGGGGAAATCCGATATCACAATGAGCAGATCTAAGCCTAAGGTGTTCACCTTATCAACAACTTATAATGTCGATATAATCAATATGCTGCCCTTCAGATATTCTTGGACTCCAACTTCCATCTGCCCCAGTCAGCATAGCCCATGGTCATGACTGGTGGGAGTCATAGTCCCAGCAACATCCCGAGGGCACCAGGTTGGCTAACCCCAGATATGGTGCATATTACACCATCAACACTGTTGCCTTTGAGGAGCAGGAAACCTAGCAACATCTGCTGCCACCCTTTTACACGAAATGTTGTTTCGACCAGTTGAGAAATTTCCCTTTTTGAGATGGTTTTGAGTAACAGTTTAGAATACTTTTTTTTGTGTCCCGTTTTGAACAGTCTTCTGTTTATAGGGTGAAATGGAAGGAAGCAGACATACTTTCGAGATGAAGGTGGCAGTGTGCGCTGCTGGATGCAAAACGCCTTCTGCAAATCCTCCCAGCTGAAACAGACTCAGTAAGAAACAAATTGTTTTAAAGGTAGAACTTAATTAGCCGACGCTTCTCTATTCCAGCCCAGCTTCTTCGGGTCCCTAGTGCACTCATTGGGCTTGAAGCTCCCCCCACCCCCATTTTCAGTGAAAGTGTGTGAAAAATGACTGTCACATCAGGTGAACATGACAGCTCCCTACTGACTGCTGGAAGCAACTCCAGAGGAGGCGGCTTTTTATTCCTTTGCATTACCACCAGGAAATCGCTTCTCGAGCATTAAAAACAAGCTATTGGAAATGTAGCAAATGAAATGAAATCAAGCCCAGAAGCTTGCGGGTACTTTTGCTGACTCTCATCTGCTATATGAAAGGAAATCAAGCCTTTGGTTTTTCAAATGTGGTGTGTGTGTGTGTGTGTGTGTGTGTGTGTGTGTTTGTAAAACCCACTGTTCAGCTAAGCTTTGTTAAGACTGTGAATGGTTCCCATTTGCATCACCTTCATGTCGTTGCATTTATAGTGAAAATGCAGTAGCTAAGTCCAGGGGGCGAGGTGTTTTTGGGCTCTCTCAATATCTGTGGGCAAGGGGCTGAGCCTTCTCAGTGTGGAGGGGGTGGAGGAGGCTCCCTACGGTTGGCAGTAGGGACGCGGGTGGCGCTGTGGTCTAAACCACTGAGTATCTTGGGCTTGCCGATCAGAAGGTCGGCGGTTCAAATCCCAGCGATGGAGTGAGCTCCTGTTGCTCTGTCCCAGCTCCTGCCAACATAGCGGTTCAAAAGCACACCAGTGGCAGTAGATAAATAGGTACCACCATGGCAGGAAGGTAAACAGCTTTTCCGTGCGCTCTGGCTTCCGTCACGGTGTTCTGTTGCACCACAAGCGGTTTAGTCATGCTGGCCACATGACCCAGAAAGCTGTCTGTGGACAAATGCCGGCTCCCTCGGCCTGAAAGCAAGATGAGTGCCGCAACCCCATAGTCGCCTTGACTGGACTTAACCGTCCAGGGGTCCTTTGCCTTTTTACCTTTATGGTTGGCCTTCCCGACCATCGACTTCCTCCAGTCACGTGTGTGACGTGTGTGTGCCATCACGCATCAGCCAAAGGTCCAACATTCTGGCGCAACCCTCTGAGGAGCCCAGTGTGCCAGTGATATCGCATACGTGAGATGGGCTCTCCTGATGTCAGGGGCCAACTTGGTGCCTCTGGTGTTCCCCATATTCTGTGCAGGGACAGCAAACTCATTCTCTGAAACACATTGCCAGCTAAAAATGCAGCTGGGTTCTTCGCTTTCTCAATTTGGACCCAAGCTGGTTGTGGGAAGGAAATGCATCAAAATGCAATATTCCATAAGGAACGACAGGAAAGATGAGGACTGTGGCAAAGGTCAGATGGTCACTGATTCCCAAACCAGCAGCGGCAGTGCGCTGACTGCAGAGTAAACGGGAGTGTGCCCAAAATAATTCGTGCAGAATCGGAAGGTTATCGGCGTCCTCTGGGGGAACCTTGAGGTTTGCAGAAGCGCAAAACAGTCCTTCTCAGTAGCTGCCTATGTTCTGTTATGTGGAACAGGATTCCTGCTGAGCTATGATCCACACCTGCTATCTGGAAACGACAGAGGGCACTTGTGTTTCAACAAGTTTTTCCAGCTGGTTGAAAAGGTCTTTGCTGTAGGTGTTCATTTTGTATAATTTTTTTAACCTATCCAGGCGAGGTGGGGTGTTGTTTTGTTTTAGAAACTATTTTTGTGTGTGTTGTTTTTAATGTCCTGCAGCCCAGCTGGTGTGCAGACCCTGCAACATTTCTCTGTTGAAAACAGGGACCTCCTATAGCATAATACTGTACTAATACTAAGAATTTTATTATTCATAGCCCATCCATCTGGTTGGATTTCCCCAGCCACTCTGGGTAGCTTCCATCATATATAAAAACATGATAAGTGTTAAACATTAACAAAACTTGCCTATAGAAATGGCTTGGGGAGTCAGATAACTCCATACCCTCCAGCATTTCTCTGATGAAAGTAGGGATGCCTGAAGGAAAAGTGGGACATTCCGGGATGAATTAAGAAACTGTAATGGCTGTAATCCATGGGACTCTTGAGAGTCCCATGGACTGCAAGAAGATCAAACCTATCCATTCTTAAGGAAATCAGCCCTGAGTGCTCACTGGAAGGGCAGATCCTGAAGCTGAGACTCCAATACTTTGGCCACCTCATGAGAAGAGAAGACTCCCTGGAAAAGACCCTGGTGTTGGGAAAGATTGAGGGCAGAAGAAGAAGGGAAAGACAGAGGACGAGATGGTTGGATAGTGTTCTTGAAGCTACCAGCATGAGTTTGACCAAACTGTGGGAGGCAGTGGAAGACAGGAGCGCCTGGCGTGCTCTCGTCCCTGGGGTCACGAAGAGTCGGATACGACTAAACGACTAAACAATAACAATGGCTTCTCTAAATCTGGGACTGTCCCTGGAAAATAGAGGCACTTGGAGGATCTGCAAATGTATTGCTCTGCTTTCCTTTGAACCACACCAACGAGGCCAAGATGGGAGTCTTGACATCTGGGCAGCCGGGGACCTCCATCCACGCTGCCCAGGCTTGCACACCTTGGAAGGTCACTTCAGTGCTGCTAACACAGCGGTTTGACTTCACACCCAGAGGCACAGTCCATTGTCTCTTGAGGAAGAAGGATGCCAACAACATATGCATGTGTGTATAACAGCCACATGGCATGGCATCATCATCATCATCATTTGTTGAGTTTATATACCGTCCTACACCTGGAGATCTCAGGGCGGTTCACAGAAAATATCACAACGTATATAATTAGAATAAAAATAACAACCCAATAACACCCCCCCCCCGAAAAGAGCCACATTTAAAAAGGGCATAGGATGTCAAACAGATCAACCAAAGGCCTGGTTAAAAAGGAAAGTTTTTGCCTGGCGCCTAAAGGTGTATAATGAAGGCACCAGGCAAACTTCTCTGGGGAGAGCATTCCACAAATGGGAGCCACTGCAGAGAAGGACCGTTCTCGTGTTACCACACTCCTGACCTCTCGAGGAGGAGGCACATGAAGGAGGGCCTCAGAAGATGATCTCAGGGTCTGGGTGGGTTCATATGGAAAGAGGCAGTCCTTGAGGTATTGCAGTCCCGAGCTGTTTAAGGCTTTATAGGTCAAAACCAGCACTTTGAATTGGGTCCGGAAACTAATTGGTAGCCAGTCGGACCAGGACCGGTGTAATATGTTCAAACCATCTTGCTCCGGTGAGCAACCTAGCCGCTGAATTCTGCACCTGCTAAAGTTTCCGAACCGTCTTCAGAGGCAGCCCTACCTATAACGCATTGCAGTAATCTAACCTTGAAGTTACCAGAGTATGGACAACAGTAGTTAGGCTATCCCTGTCCAGATAGGGGCGTGGCTGGACCACCAGCCAAAGCTGATGGAAGGCACTCCGGGCGACTGAGGCCACCTGAGCCTCAAGCGACAGCAAAGGATGCAGGAGTACCCCCAAGCTACAAAGAGCAGGCCCGTCTTACCCATGGAGGCTAGTGGCATGGGGCGCCAGGGTGCCAAGTTCTGCAGGGCACCAGGAGAGAGTCTGGGGAACACTGAACGAGCGAGGGTGCGTGCGCCACTCCCGCCGCGTGTTGGCTTGGTTTTCCCCCTTTTAGCCCACAGGTGCCAAATTCTGCGGGGCGCCAGAAGGCGAAAAGGGAAAAAACCGAGCCAACACTTGGCAGGAGCGGCACTTGCGCCCTCGCTCGGCGCAGGCCCGCTCGCTTGGTGCGCTGTCTGCTTTGGCCACCGTGGCCTCCACTGAGCTGGGAGGCGGCGCGTCCAGCCTCCACCTCTTCCCCACTGGAGGAGCCACCCTCCAGCCGCTGCCCGCCTCCTCCAGCCCTAAAAAAGGTTGACAACTCTGGGAAAAGGGAGGGCGCCGGAGGGATCTTTGCACCACAGCGCCGGATATGCTTAAGAAGAAGAGCCGGGGATGGAGTGCTGTAGAACATGAATACAGGGCAGCTGTTCGGAGGAACCCTGGTGTGGAAACAGAGCTCTCTCTTGGGACAGAAGAGGAAGGTGCTTCATTGTTCAACTGTGCTAAGCAGTAAGGTACAAATGCAAATATTTTGGAGGAGGGGAAAACATACAATAGCTTTACACACCAGGCTGGCCAGCTTTTATGCAAAACTTGCCTTATGTGCTGGCTGGTTTCCAAGGCTACCGGGTGTCAATAACTAAAACATCCTTTCCCAGCCTTCTTATTCACAGTCAAGTAAAGGATCACAAGTAGCTTACAATAACCCTTCAGCCAAAGTCATAGAAGAGAATGAACAACCAAACCAAAAGCGATATTCTTATTTTGGAAGACGCAAGTGGGGGAAACCTGCCCCGTCATAATATCTAAGATTGGAACTATTTGTGTTGAGAAGAGCTTATGAAACCAATACGGTCACTGTGACTTCAACTTCTTCCAGGAACTTGTCTTATCAGAGAGGGTATATCAACATGAGAAGATAAGTTTCCTTTTCCTTAGAAACCCTGGGAATTGTGCTGACAGAGTTCTTAGCAAGCTCATCATAAAACATAGCAGTTTGTAGTGTAAGGCCAGGAGCCTTTTTTTAAATTTGTTTTAGAGGATTTCTGCCTGGGCCTCTTCCAATCATAGACTCTGTAAGACGGCTTACAATAAAATGAAAGAACAACGTATATAAGAACACCACCTTCCTGCTTTGGCGATCACTCATAGCCGAGTAAGGTTGTCTTCTATAAATACGGTTTTAACAGTGAGTCCGTAAGTGATGGTGGAGGCCAATTCAGGATCTACACGTCCTTCCACAGTGGGGACAAAGGGTTTCTAGGTGGTAGTTGATCACAGTGAGGGTTTACAAAGCGTGCCTTACTCTTAGCACATTTCTCCTTTTCGTCTGGAGTTCGAGCGTCTTCAAAGTCCATGACACCTTTGGTAAAGGCTGTTATCCAATTGGAGCGCTTGCAGGCCAGTGTTTCCCAGTTGTCAGTATTTATACTACTTTTTAAAGATCTGCCTTGAGAGAGTCTTTAAACTGTTGACCACCAGCATTACGCTTTTCATTTTTAAGTTCGGAAGAGAGTAGTTGCCTTGGAAGAACACCATACAGGTGTTAAAAGCTGAGATCGAATGGCAGCAAAATATGGCTTGGGGTAGGTGGGAGTCGCGGGTGGGCAGTGCGCTGAATGTCACCCCCTTTGGTGATGACACCTGGGGCGGACCGCACTCACTGCACCCACCTTGCTCCGCCCCTGACTCCACTCCCGCTACCTCCCTTGGAACTCTGGCCAGTCAGCTGTTGCTAGATTAACCGTTTGCTGGCAGGGGGGAAAACACTCGGTGACTCAACCTGCTCAGTAAACAAACTTTTCCGTCGCAGATGGCAGATCTCAAGCTCTCTTTTCATACACACAGAATGGGCAGCGGGAGTGGAATATGCCAACCCTAGAGATGGCATACTTGTTTCCTCCTGAAACCCCACCCCACCCTTTCCGTTGTCATGTCTGACACCAGCAGGACTCTGCATTGGGCAGTTCTTACATCAGATTTCCCACGCTCTGCCTCTTGAACTTAGTTCCAGTTGAAATCAATGGGACCTGCTGCAGCTAACTTACCTTGCCCTCTTGATTCAGTGGGACCTACCTCAAATATACCACGTCTGACTCTTAACTCCCTGAATGCAGCTCAGTAGGGGAGATGGTTGATTCTAGTCTGTAGCTCAAAATAAACAAATTCTGATAATGTAATGCTAAGGTCGGTGGTTCGAATCCCCGCGACGGGGTGAGCTCCCGTTGCTCGGTCCCAGCTCCTGCCAACCTAGCAGTCCGAAAGCACATCAAAGTGCAAGTAGATAAATAGGTACTGCTCCGGCGGGAAGGTAAACAGCGTTTCCGTGTGCTGCTCTGGTTTGCCAGAAGCGGCCTAGTCATGCTGGCTACATGACCCAGAAGCTGTACGTCGGCTCCCTCGGCCAATAAAGCGAGATGAGTGCCGCAACCCCAGAGTTGGTCATGACTGGATCTAATGGTCAGGGGTCCCTTTACCCTTTACCTAAGGAGACAATAAACTTATCCTGCAGATCAGGCAGGGAGGGGGGAAGTTTTGTTCGAAGCATTGCTTTCAGTCTCGTTTAAACAGCGTTAAGTCTAAAAATAGGGAATAAACAACACTAAATTGGTTATCTAAATTATACACTATACGGCTCCAGATGTGTTAAAGGTGAATTAGTTCCCGTGTCTAAAGCTGTCTGGGAAGTCCAGGTTTCTGCCTCTGAAATTCAGTCTCCCTTCAGAGTAAAAATCCTTCTGCTGTTGCATTCCAAAACAACAACATAGGAAATTCCTTCTGCAGACTTTAGAAAAAATGAAAGGAACTTGATAAGCAGGAGTTGGCCTCTTTCCGCTTACAAGAGGCCTTCCTGTCCTCAAATGCTCTTTGTACGGTGGAGCGACTTTCTTCTTCCCGTATATTGAAATACATATCTTCCCCTTACTTGCCAGAGCAGCAAAAAGTTCCAGGTTTATTGTCGAATGCTTTAGTTTACTTTCAGTGAACAATAATTTAAAATTTGGTTTCATATTTGGACTTTGTGATATGTATTGATATAATTTGGAATAATTAATATGATATGATTGGTTTGGTAAATGGAAATTTAATAAAAAATATTTGGAAAAGTTTACTTTCAGTGAGAGAGGACAAGAAACACATGGAGTCTTGATCGCAATACAGAGCAAATAAACAGGCATAGCAAAGCAGAGTGGGGGAAAATATACATCTTCAGCAGGGAGCGCGATAGCTAACCCTGTATCAGATTCCCAGAGAGCAGCTGTTGCAGCTGCCCCGTCCCACAACAAGGCCGCTTGCTTAACTCCAGCTAAACTCTTGGTTCTTTCCTCTTCCGGCTCAAACTGCAAACTCTCTCCCTACTCTTCCCCCTTGGTTCTCAGGGGTGTCGCCTTCATAAGGCTGGGCTCTATGTCATTTGGCAGGTATCCAAGTAGTTTAACTCAAATCAATCAAGACATCTCATGTGCGTAACAATAGACATCAACTTCCTCGTAAAGAATGTTAGCAACTGGGAACAATATGCATGTTTCTGACGCCCGTGAAGGGGAGCAGGAAGAAACTTAAACATGATGCAGAGTTTTCCGAAAAATAGACCAGAGGCAATTGTACTTCATCCAGCAGAGCTTTACTGAAGGCAAATAAGCATAATGGTCACAAATCCAATGCATTCAGGACTGGCTCATAAAGATCCAGTTACAATAAAACTTACAATACTTATAATAAGTCTAAAGCTTAACACTAAGCAAACTATGTACAGAACCCCACACCAGAAGGAAAAAAGATAGAATGAGAAAGTGAAAGCCATTCTCCTTCTGGCCCTACTTTCATAGTCAGCATGACCTTGACAGAAAGAGATAGCAGAACCAGTTTAAGCCAGCTGTGCTCAGCTTCCCAGAAAAAATAATGCAGACAAGAACCTTCTGCCTGCTTCTTTCACATAGAAATAAAACTTTTCAGAACCCTCTTGAATTAATCAGAACAGGAAAGAGCTCTACACATCAGATCGATACTTTCTGTACTAAGAAATGCAAACTGACAGTTTCTACTCACAAGGTAGTTGCAGAATGAGTAAAGATTTCGGACCCGGGGGGTATGAATTGCTACACAATGCAATCAAAATATGGGCCAGACAAAAGTGTAGAAAATACACAAAGATATTCCCCCTTGGACTGTCCCGCTCAAAGTGCAGAAGCTGGGAGGTGAAATGGATCTAGCCTGTGTTTTAGTCCTGCTCCTCTAGGCCATGGGTAGGCAAACTAAGGCCCGGGGGCCAGATCCGGCCCAATCGCCTTCTAAATCCGGCCCATGGATGGTCAGCATGTTTTTACATGAGTAGAACGTGTCCTTTTATTTAAAATGCATCTCTGGGTTATTTGTGGGGCCTGCCTGGTGTTTTTACATGAGTAGAATGTGTGCTTTTATTTAAAATGCATCTCTGGGTTATTTGTGGGGTATAGGAATTCGTTCATTCCCCCCCTCTCCAAAATATAGTCCAGCCCCCAGGTCTGAGAGACAGTGGACTGGCCCCCTGCTGAAAAAGTTTGCTGACCCCTGGTCTAGGCATTCTGAGAAAGCATAGAGGCGACTATCTAAACAGAGAATCTGTGTTTAAAAACCTATCATTAGGTGTGTTCAGCATTGTGCATTGCATACGGAAATCCAAACCTGTGTACTTTAAGGCTGTCTATTGTGAATAAAAGACTGTTTATGTATGCAACAGCAGCAGCAAGGATGCTTCTAGCCCAGAGATGGAAAGAAGAAGAAGTACCGACCAGAGGAGAGTGGCAGACCAAGCCGATGGAATATGCAGAAATGGCAAGACTGACGGGAAAGATCAGAAACCAGAAAGACCAAGTATTTTTAAAAGACTGGAGTAAATTTTTAACATATTTGAGAGACCACTGTAAACAGTTGAAGTCATTGGCAGGAATACAATGACACTTGTAAAGTAACATGGATTTTGGATACTATGATTATATAATAGAGTACAGTAAAAGATGCAGGAAATTTTTTTAGAAATGGAACACATGGAGGGAAGGAAGGAGGTATGAAGGTTCAAAAGAACCCCTTTTAATTTTTGGAATTGTTATGTTTGTGGTGCACAACCTTTATGTAAAACCAATAAAAATTGTGTGTGTGTGTGT